CTTGTAAACGTCTAGATTTCCAGGAATATTGCTGACATTGTACTGACACCAAATCAGGCCTTTCTAGCATGTGTACATATAGTCTGAACTTAAAGGACTTTGTAATGAAAGTAATGCCTGACACTGCGTTTTAATGTATAAAATCCATAATGTTCTTTAAAGACTATGAACCTTCCTCCCACATTTGAGGTACCTAGGCAGTGTACACTATTACTATATACTGATTTTGACCTACAGCAAATATGGTCCCGTCAAGAGATCTCATTTAAAATTACATATCAGGAGAACGGTACTGTGCCATTGCTGACCTTTTTTCTAAAAATGCTAATTGCCTGGCTGTCACTACTATAATTATTTTTTGAGCCACTGACCTTGAACCAGCATGCAGCATGTAAAATAAGGTTTTCGCACTTGTTTAGGTCAGTATTAAAGTAGAACTTTATGTACAAAACAAAAAAAGGAAAACAGGCAGGATTTCTAATGCAGAAGACAAGTATGCATTAAAATGACCCACCTGTCTGCCCACCCGTGTACAGTGAGCGCACACGCAGCTCACAGTGGAGATTTGGCAGTGCCAAAGCTGACTGCTCTCTTGCGCATGTGCAGGACTGATGTCATATTGGCCCAGCCAATTTAAAGTGGTAGTAAACTCTCTATTGTGATTTTTACCTACAGGGAAGATTGTAATAAAACTTACCTGTAGGTAACATGAATACCTCCTAAAGGTTTACAGTTTAGGAGATATTCTAGAGAGCAGCTGGTGCTGTTCCTTCAGAGCTCTGTGCCGCGACCGTGACTCCCACTCTATTCAAGGGCCGAAGCAGTTCGTCCATTCAAGCAGCCACAGCCCGCAAACCCAGAAGGAAAACCGAGTAAAGATGGAAGTCTCTGCAATGGTGACAGCATGCTGCTGGGGGGCTTCATTCTTAGGTAGGTTTTTCATAATCTGCTAGTATGTGGTGCATACTAGCACATTATGCCTTTACCTTGCAGGAATTAGATCTGTTTTGTTTTTTTTTACCTTTACTGGTGCTTTAAGCAGAAACCAGCCGCTAGAAGATGTCAGCGGTGGGTGGGGAGCTCCAGGATGTTGCATAGCTGGAACCGAGGTGAGTATAGTTCTGTTTTAAAGTCATTAGATCAGCCAGGTAACCAGTATTTTCAGAAAGAGGGTTCAGCACTGGCAGCTGACATACTATCATCAGCATAGATTTCTTTAAAATACTTTTCATCTATTTGTTTTATTTATCTTTGCCTTTGTAAATAAAATTTATGTTAAGCGCTTCCGTGCCACTCTATAGCAGAAATACTGCTACAGGGTGGCATGGATGCACAAAATCACGTATATACAGTATACGTGATTTTGCAGCTCTGCGCAGGCCTTGGCTGTCAATCACCAGGTCCCAGCCGGTGATTCCCCGCCAGCACCCAACGATCTCCGAGTATTACTGATGGGGAAAAGACCTGTATGTAAACAATACAGATCTCTCCCCTGTCAGCTTCTGCACACTGATTTATATGGCTCTGCATAGCCATACACCACAGATAATTGACCATCTGGAATGGTAGGCCAAATATCGCATGAGATGTTGCAGCGGTCTCCTGCAGGAAAGTTGACCGTCTGCGTGGTCTTGACACCTCTATACCCTGATGACAGACTCCATAGTGGAAACACCTCTAGATCAATCGTTTGCGACAAAACTCCTCCAGAACTTCCACAGTACTCTTCCATCACCCTAAAAACATCAAAGGGAAACTTCCATTGTGCAACACCATATTTATTAGGTAAAAAACATTTAAAATTGCACTTACACAAAAAACATGTGTATGGCACTTTAAATCCCAGCAAAAAGCAATTCCTCCTCAAGTGTAGCGCTATCAAGTCCCGCTCTACATGTTTCATCGTATGACGTCATCAGGAGCATGATGACAAAATTGCTGCGCTGCCTCTCCCAAAAACTACTTTAAATAATTAATTAAATAAATAAATTAACTCCCTACTACACAAAGGGTCCCCACAAATGTGCATGTGCTATAATGCCCCATGGGCTGGCAATTATATCCCTCCAGTGGCTAAATCCCAAATAAACCAACCCCCACACTCCTGATGACGTCATATGAAGAAACGTGGAGCGGGGCTTGATAGCGCTACACTTTTCTTGTGAGAAGGAATTGCTTTTTGCTGGCATTTAGAGTGCCATACACATGGTTTTTATGTAAGTGCAATTTTAAATGTTTTTTTACCTAATAAATATGGTGTTACGCTATGGAAGTTTCCCTTTGCTGTTTTTACGGTGGTGGAGGAGTACTGTGGAGGTTCTGGAGGAGTCTGTCATCAGCTTATAGAGGTGTCAACAAGACCACACAGACGGCCAGCTTTCCTGCAGGAGAGCGCTGCACCATCTCATGCAATATTTGACCTACCATTCCAGGTGGTCAGTTATCTGTGGTGAGTGGGGCTCTGGAGGGGGGAGCACTAATTGGGGCACTATGCACAGAGAATTGCTATGGATAAGAAGATTTACTATTGTATCACTTAATATTCACACTGGATGCGAATAGGGGGTTTCTTTGGGGATTTTTTTTGTACTTTCCATTTTTTCTTAACTTTTATATGTTTGCACAATTATTGGGACTTATATATGTGTATATATATATATATATATATATATATATATATATATATATATATATATTGTTTTATACAATTTCATTGTATACACAGTTTCATGGCATGGTATATGTGCTATTTTTAGCACTATTGTCATTTAAACACCTTGTATTTCCTTATTGGTTTATTTGGGATTTAGTCACTGGGGATGAGGGATATAAATGCACATTTGTGGGAACCCTTTGTGTGGTAGGGAGTTCATTCATTTATTTAATTAATTATTTAAAGTAGTTTTTGGGAGAGGCAGCGCAGCAATTTTTATATTTTTTTCAAAATTGTTGGTCATCCCCCCCTTGCTAAATCATGAATGAACTATGATTAACCACATTTTTGGAAAGATGACTTTAATTTTACTTGCCACATCCAGGCCTGATTACTGCCAGACCTGTTGATTCAAGAAATCACTTTAATAGAGGCTGTCTGACAAAATGAAGCATGCTAAAAGATCTACAAAAGCAACACGTCATGCCACAATCTTAAGACAATCAAGAACAGATGAGAAACAAAGTAATTGACATGTATCAGTCTGGAAAGGGTTACAAACCAATTTATAAGGCTTTGAGACTTCAGCAAACCACGGCGAGTGCCATTATCCACTAAAAGAAAAAACTTGGAACAGTGGTGAATTATCATTGTGTAATATTAAAATTTGTCTGAAGATCTGAATCATTTACCTGTGACAAATATGCAAAAAAAATCAGGAAGGGGGGTAAATACTTTTTCACAGCACTGTATATACTGCTAAAGTACTAACTGTGTATTCTACCATTATTGAATGAAATTGTTGTCTGAATATGTCATCATTTTGAGGGATATTCCTTTCCGTGTGTATTGACTTCGAATGAATATCTATACTGCAGTATATGTATTTTTCATCTGATTCATTTGGTTTTGTGTAACTTCCTATAGAACATGATTTGAAAGCATGTTGTAGATTCTATCTATTTGTCTGTTGTTTTTTTTTAGTAACACTGCCAATATGGCATTCCCAGTTATTCTCCTTATCACCTAGTCCCAGTGACAAGTGTTGGCATTGCTCTATGACAAGACATTGGCCAAGTACTTTTATCCAATGTTTGTTAAATAAAGCTACCGTTTCAACATGCTGTACAGTACATAAAGAATCTTATCTAACACACTATACAGAATACAGTATTGTATTTAGGGCACGATTTAGGGCACGATAGAAAAACATATTCCTGTTTGATTTTCCAGCATATCAAAGTGAGGTGAGCATCATCTGTTTCTGTTATAAAGAAAAAAAAACACAACATGGAAATGCAGAAAAATGGTCCATTTGAAATTAAATTTAATTATGAGCCTTCCAGACTAAATCAACAACCCATAAAGATTATAAGAGGTGAATTTAGGTAAATGACATTCATTTTTTCATCGAAAACTGTTTAACAGGATACACATTCATATATTAAATGTGAACATCTGGGAGTTTTTATCAACACATTCTGTGGATCTTAGAACAGTCCACATACTGTATACACTATATTGCCAAAAGTATTGGGACACCTGCCTTTACACGCACATGAACTTTAATGGCATCCCAGTCTTGGTCCGTATGGTTCAATATTGAGTTGGCCCACCCTTTGCAGCTATAACAGCTTCAACTCTTCTGGAAAGGCTGTTCACAAGGTTTAGGAGTGTGTCTATGGGAATGTTTGACCATTCTACCAGAAGCACATTTGCCAGGTCAGGCACTGGATGCAAATAGGGGTTTCTTTGGGGATGTTTTTGTACTTTCCATTTTTTCTTAACTTTTATATGTTTGCACAATTATTGGGATGTCGGACGAGAAGGCCTGGCTCTCAGTCTCCACTCTAATTCATCTCAAAGGTGCTCTATCGGGTTGAGGTCAGGACTCTGTGCAGGACAGTCAAGTTCCTCCACCTCTAACTTGCTCAGCCATGTCTTTAAGGACCTTGCTTTGTGCACTGGTGCGCAGTCCTGTTGGAACAGGAAGGGGCCATCCCTAAACTGTTCCCACAAAGCTGGGAGCATGAAAATGTCCAAAATGTCTTGGTATGCTGACAGCTTAAGGGTTCTCTTCACTAGAACTAAGGGGCCAAGCCCAACCCCTGAAAATCAACCCCACATCATAATCCACCCTCCACCAAACTTTACAATTGGCACAATGCAGTCAGGCAAATCCTGTTCTCCTGGCAACCACCAAACCCAGACACGTCCATCGAATTGCCAGACAGAGCAGTGTGATTGGTCACTCCAGAGAACATATCTCCACTGCTCAACAGTCCAGTTGTAGTGTTCTTTACACCACTGCATCTGACGCTTTGCATTGCACTTGGTAATGTAAGGTTTGGATGCAGCTACTTGGCCATGGAAACCCATTCCATGAAGATCTCTATGTACTGTTTTTGTGCTAATCTGGAGGCCACATGAAGTTTAGAGGTCTTTAGCTATACTGACTCTGCAGACATTTGGCAACCTCTGCACAATGTGTACTTCAGCATGCGCTGACCCCGTTCTGTCATTTTATGTGGCCTACTGCTTTGTGTTGCTGTTGTTCCCAGTTGCTTCCACTTTGTTATAATACTACTGACAGTTGACCGTGGAATATTTAGTAGCAAGGAGATTTTGCAGATGGATTTATTGCACAGGTGGTAACCTATCACGGTACCACGCTTGAATTCACTAAGCTCCTGAGAGCGACCCATTCTTTCACAAATGTTTGTAGAAGCAGTCTGCATGCCTAGGTGCTTTATTTTATACACTGCAAAACAAGGGAAGAAAGGGCGCACCAGTCTAGTGCATTACCTGAGAAGTAACTTTATTAAATCCAAAAGAGATATGTACTTACAAACAACTTTCAGCTCTCAACCATGAGAAGACCCTCAAATCTATGATGCGTTACAAGGGGCAATCCGCTCTTCCTCAGAGCCCAAGGAACATGGGGAGCGCTCCTCGAAATGCATCAGCCATTTAAGGGTCTTCTCGCATTTGGGAGCTGACCTGGTGACTCAGTCACTTTGGATATTGATATGCCTTTAATACTATAGTTGTTTGTGAGTACATCTCTTTTGCATTTAATAAAGTTACTTCTCAGGTAATGTACTAGGCTGGTGCGCCTTTTCTTCCCTTGTTTTGCAGTGAGACTTTTGGGTTTCCCCCAACCCTCAGAGGGCAGCAAGGCTTGTGCTGGCGTTGGATGCACTAAGGACCTGGAGTTCCTTTATCATCTTACCACTCTTGAGGCAGGAGACATTCTTCTTGGCTTTATTTTTACTCCTGTGGCCATGGAAGTGATTAGAACATCTGAATCCAATGATTTGGAGGGGTGTCCCAATACTTTTGGCAATATAGTGTAGATTAAAAAGAAACATTTTGGGGTATGTGGCAATATAGTGTATGTAGTTCACCTATGTAAATAACTGTTTGCATAAAGTTCAGCTTCGGGTGTACATATTAGCCTTTAGCTATACATGTCAGCTCTGTTTCACTTCACTTCTTTTAAAATGCAGTATCATTCAAACCTAAAATTGCAGTAGTGATAACAAATGTTTATTCAGTGGCCAGAGAAGTGTTTTGGCTGTAGATTAGGAAACAAAGTGTCCTGTTGCCATGGACAGTTTTTGTGGCTTCCTTAAAGCAGTACTTTACCCATAACAACTTGATAAACAATAAGTTTTATTAGCAAGAAACCTACATTCCACATTAATAAGTACGCCACCAAAATAAGTGTGTCATGTAAATTGCTTCCAGCATTATTCTTGTTACTTCTTGCCGGAGGCTGCCATTTTGCCAAAAATAGAGAACAACTGAGCACGTGCAGAGCAAAGTGAGATAGTGTATTACTGGATTTTAAACAGTATATATACACTTATTTTTAATTGTTTTACATAGCTATAACTGCAAAAAGCGCCAGCATGAAGTGATCTAGCAGGACTTCAGTTTTCTGACTAAGGTTCCACTTCAAGTTTATGAAAAGGTATATGAATGGATATCCATATCACTGGGAATCAGAAGATTGGGCACATTGGATAATTTTAACAACAATATTCCAGTTCTCATTAAACAAAGAGTGCCATATTGTACATTCTGCAGAGACTCTCCTAATATATAAATCCCAGGTGCCACAATAATTTTAATTTGGGAATCTTAACAAAACAAATGAATATGAGCACACATAACTGGAATATCAGAAAGAAATTGATTCAATTTGCTCATTTACAGATTTTCACAGATTGATTTGCTTATCTCTATACCTAAAGTAAATGTTATCTGTCACCACCTCCCCACAACCATCTACCGTCCATCTACACATCCTTAACCAATCAATACAATAGCAGCAAGAACAAGAACATCCGTTGGCATTGCTTGTGTATTATAGAAATAACCTTGAGACCTATTGGTTTTTTAAACAAGGTAGTGCAGAGAGTAAAGGTGTGCTGCATCCATATCAGGTAAACAAGTTTTACCTTGTGTCTGTTTTTGTAAAGTCAGAACAGTTTATAACAATTGATGATTGATTTCTAAAAAAAAACCCTGCAGTGTTTTTGTTAAATAGAGGTTTCTGTGGTCATTGGAACAATCTACTGTTAATATATACAGATCAGATTTAGTTTCCAAAAACAAATTTTTCTGTTGAATTGGTACATTGTGCTCATTATCTAATCTATCTGTGAATTTGGGAATATTCTATCTTCTGCTCATCCATGGTCACTGAATTCAGTCAACAGAAACATACAGTTAGACCAAGTTTATACATTTGCATTCCTGTACTTGCCTGCATTTCATATATATATATATATATATATATATATATATATATATATATATATATATGTAAAATATAAATTTAAATGATTTTTTTTTGTTTTTTTCTTTTTCAGTTTTCTTCTTGTCTTCAGCTGCTTAATTTTATCAGTGTTTTCCACCATCCCTGAACATCAAGAACAAGCTTCATATTGCCTCTTTGTCCTGGTAAGTGATAATACTACAGTATGCACCATAAGTGAATAATTTGACATATCTTAAGTTAAAAAAGGCACTTGGTGATATATAAAATATTACTATAAACCCAATTAATCAGGTAGTCTGCTGTCTGCTGATGTAATACATTTTGAAAATGTTTGAGACAATTACACTAGCATAGAAAACATTTTGTATTAAATTTCTTATGAAAAGTAAGAAAGTTTACTGATTTTTCTAATCATTAGTGGGTCAATGTAATGATCGACCGCAGTGATGAGAAAATGCAAAGGAGCAAGATGGGAAATTCTCCTCGAACTAATGGATTTCTAGCAGTCATGTGGTTTTTGTTCAGTAAAGTCTATTTATTCCAAAATCAAATGCAAAAAAGCAAGAAAAATTCTTTCGAACAACATTCAAATGTTCTAAGAATTTTTGTATGTTTTCTTAAGAATTTTTTGTTCAAAATTGAATCCATATGTGGCTAACTTTAAGCCATAGCAGATACTAAACCTGAAGTTAGTTACTACTGATGTGACCTAAATTGATTTCTAGTACAGATTTAGGGTGTCCTGATTCTACGATACTGTATATGTCATACATTGACACAAAATGGTGATCCACAACCATGATAAACATGCAAATACATGAACACGCAATGGTGGTTTACAACCAAGGTAAACATGCAAATACAAATATGTTCTGCTGTACAAAGCTATAAAATGTATGTATGTTTTAGATTCACCTAGACCAGGGGTGTCCAAACTATGGCCCCCCAAGTGTTGAGGAACTGCAGGTCCCATGAGGCCTTGCAAGACTCTGACATCCACAGGCAAGACACCCAGAGGCAGAGGCCTGATGGGACTTGTATTACTTCAACAGCTGGAGGGCATAGTTTGGACACCCCTGACCTAGACTAAGCATGGCCATGTGTTGATCCTTAGATGGATCTTTTCCGTGGCATAGCTTGTTATTCATGTTTTCTTTAGTGAATTTTTAGTATTCTAAATCCACAATAGGAAGTTTGTATGTGACATAATTTTATTAATTGGTGGGCCTTGAAAATTCACCTATGGTTGTGAGTGTGCCTCCCAGAATAAATTTAGGGACAAACTTTTTTTATTATGTTGAACAAATCACCTTTAGTTCTTTATCTATATGTCCTTGGTATAAAAAAAAGTGCTATTGTGCTTACAATGTCTCTCTGACTTTCCATATCATTATAGTAATAGAGTGGCACCAGAGTCATTGAACCTATGTTACCAGATAAGTGGTATACCCCATCTCATGAAATAAGCCTCATTTAATATGTCCATATAGATGGGTTTGCGGCATTCTAGCCATGCAGTGATCATATCATTTGCATCCAGCTAAATCTTTTGCTGTTTCAATGTTGGTATGTGTAAAATTACTAACGTCGTAAGTAGTTCCATGGTGATCCCATCAAATATATTACCACTATGGAAGACAATTATCAGTAACTCATAATAGAAACGCTTGATATATAAATTCACATAAATAGAGCAAAGCATAATAAATCTAAGTATCTAGATAAAGCAAAGTAGAAAAATATTAATTATAGTAACGCATGACTAATTGGAAAACATTGACTGTACACAATAAAAAAAAGAAACATTTCCCCCCAGATCAGGTATTTCCGCAGTTATGTATGAATATTCACACTAACTATAGATTTGTTCATGCTTTGAGTTCTTTTTATATTTTATATATACTGTATATATAAGTTAATATATTATTATATTTTAGATATGTAGATATTCATTTCTCTTTGACTGATGTGAATATATCATTCTTTTATGCAGAGATCCGTAGAAAACAATTCTTGCATGGAAAACTTGCTATTTAGCCTACAGTATTTATTGTGGGATCATGTAAAACAGACATAATCCTAGAAATATCCACTTAAAATGGCTGAAAGTAAATGCTGGATTTAGAATGTATACTCCCAGTTTGTTCTGCATTCCATGAGATCAGTTAACATATTTAGCATGGTTATTACATTTGGAAGACAAGTGATTGAATGGTAATAAATTGAAAGTATAGCTAGTTATATAGTTGGGTTCATTTTTCTACATTTTGCCAAAAACGAATACAGTGTACTTTGCTAGCTTTTCGGTGCCCTATCCTAACTTTTTTGAGACATGTTGCTGCCATCAATTTCAATATTGTCTAATGTTTTCTATTTTCTATTGTGAAAAAATATGGATTCATGAGATTTGCAGATCATTGCATTCTGTTTTTAAGTAGATTTTACACAGCATCCCAACTATTGGTTGTATATAGCTTATCGTCAACTCTGAACTACTGCTGACAGAGGAAAGTATTGGCCCTTGAGGCTGGTTGAGATTTGCACTGACACCCAGTGATCATCTCTCCCAAATGGCAGGGCCATGGTATAGGTAAATGGTTCTCTGTAGACATCTGGAGACAGACTGTTCACATGAGACATATTTACTGCATCAAACTGTATATTAAACAGCAGAACTAAAATGTGTCAAGCAATTCCGCTATAGCCCATCTGCCTTTTTGCATGTTTTATTTTGTTGTGGTGCAATTGTGATGTGTCCTAAAGCATTTTATATAAGTAGGATTTTTTAATGCAGCACAGAATGCACGGCTATGAGCTACACCAAAACCAACAAGTAACATAATGTTACGCAAATTGACTTGTTAAGGTGTCACCCAGTGCTCATATAATATATTACATCTTCCTATATATGGTATATGACTTCACTACTTCACTACTTAAACAGATTTTGTTATCTAGGTTACTGTATTTTGGTGTCACTTTATTAGTCCTTTTTGTTTTTGTTAGCTCATGGCCCAGTTGTAGATCTGATGTATCTATTGGATTGTCTTCAGTTAGGACTTGTTTTACACTAACGTCAAGGCCTGCTGCTTCCCTGAAAAGCTTGTTTGGATAGTATTTCAGAGATATTTGACAGCTGTTGAGGTGGCACACTATCGTGCTGCCTCTGTGTTGTTCAATGGAGTACATTGCAAACTATGCTGCGTGCCATGCAAAAAATGCATGATGCCATAAATGCAAGGAAATGGGGCACTTTGAGGAAAGATATAGCAAGCAGTGAGATCCATGGAAAATATAGCCATCAATTAAGAAAATCCTTCCTAACACTGTAGTAAGCCATATTGCTAGAGACCTAGAATGAACACTTTGTTTAACTTGCATATGAGAGTCACCAAGGAGTTGCAAAACAAAACAAAGACTAATTGAACTATACTGGTGGACAGGACTAGTAATTGCCATTTAGTCCCGTGTTACATGTCAGGTTTATGACAAATCTGTTGTCACACACACTCCACCACTCCAGCTAGTGCCATATCCTGATTCTGCTTGGGCGAAACTTGCTATTGATTTTGTAGG